GATTTTCACTGTAAAATACCTTATGGTGCTTATCAAGTCAGTGAAAGGTTCCTGTAGATCGTACACATTTGGAATGCATCTTTTAGAGTATACTTACGCGTGATTGAACAGTACCCCCATTTTGACTAAATGTATACATTGAAATTTCTCTAATAAGGAAATGAAATCCAATATATAAGCAAAGTAAACGAGTTTACTTACGTTGATAACAACCGCGTTCTTGGTATCACAAGACCCCCACAGAGTTCTTCCAATCTAGAATGTGACGCAACCTTCAAGCTGGGAGGTCATTTATTCTTACAGGGTAAGAGGACAATATTATCCGACACGGATGTAGAGAAACAAGAATAACAAGAGAACTGGTGATGGTTGTAGAACCATAACTGCCGCAGCTCAAAGATTGTTATGTAATACAGGGGAATATGAAGGGAAATGTATTGTAATGATACCTCTGTGTAATTTACAATATATCTGCATTAACCTTCACTGTGAAGGACAATATGGGAGATGCAGTTTACTTGACATGTAATTTAATTAGTTAATTAGGAAACCAAGATGACCTCCCTTGTCCACAAAACTATATATTTTCGGAAAGCTTATGACTGGTAGAAGCAAGGCTGGTCAAATTTTGCGAAACAGTAGTTAGAATTTTCAAGATACGCAATCGACACACTGTGGGATATCAAAATATGGATGATAAACAGTAAGTGATATTTCCAGAGATGTACAATGTAGTTGGAATTGAAGCAAAGAAGTGGCCTATTAATCCATGAAACATACTCACACATATCCGTACATATCATCCTTATTGTCTTTTTGTGTGTGGGCAAAGCTGTCATGCACACAATCGGAACAATATGTTATTACTGTAAATAATTATGAACAATAAAAACTGAAATTTAAAAAAACTATGAACAATTAGTAAGGAAAATATGTGATTTGCTGTACAGTTTCCAGAAAATTATCACAAGTTCCAGAAGTATATACAAGTCGTCAAAACGTACAGTTTGGTGACAGTTGGGAATGATACAAAGATTTAACAATTCCATGAGAACATCACAATGTTCTTTTAACACATGAAACAGATGTGCATTGGTCGAATTTTGTATAGTTTCAATAGGCATACAAGTATATATTTTGACAATAAACCCCTCATTCACATTGTGCAAATACAAACAAGACATTAAACCTTCTTGATAGTAACAAGTAAGTGTTGTATAAACCCGAATTTCTCAAGATAAACGTCCCAAGGTTGTTTTGTTTACTAGAAGGACATGTCTTTTGGCAGCATTGCACAAAAAGTAGCAAATACTGTTACTGAAGCACAGAATTTGCATGAATTTTTCTCCCCGGCCATTCACGCAAACTGCAAAGGAAGTCTCTTACCTCGTCCATAGTTGTTGACACTTTGCAACCGCCTTGATGGATGTATTGTGACGTATTTTGATCCCGGATTCTGACCTTGCATTCTGGCTAAATTTACTGCACTTTCACACCAGCTCAATTTCCTTTAATTATTAGATCCAAATTTCATTTTATTTAAAACAGTCACTTTAGTTGTCACTTTTCTAAAATTAGTTTATAGATCAAAAGAATTTTCACTCCCATCATGCAATCTCCCATAGTACTTCCGCAGACACAGTGGCGATCGCCAACATATCTACAAATAACCTCGCTTCTAGGAGCTGGGAAATAAATTCGGATTAAAGAAAAAAAATACTAACACAAAAAAGTGCCACATACTACACAGGAAATATATAAACTGCTCGCAAATGCTAACTCCATTCTGAAATAATGGTATGCTCACAAATACGTACATTGCGACGGGACATATCACGATATAGTTTGCGCCCAATTAATCGTTCGTAATATACACTAAATTATTCAATAAAATAATAAAACCATGGTTGGGTTCTGTCAACATCAGAAAAATTGTGATTTATAACGTGATGTGAATATCGAACTAATGTATTTATTTAAAGAATAGATTTGAAGCAAATTCATATTATAAGTTCATGCGTTGATGTTATTTCTCACGTGGCACGACGTAATCGAATAAACTTGCTTGATGCTAGCAGTGAATGATAGTGTCAGCGGTGGCGTTGATGCTAGCAATGGATGATACTGTCAGCGGTGGCGTTGATGACCCACCGCTCGTACATATGACCAAATAATTAAATGTGAATAACTGCATTGTAATGATTAAATATTTACAACTATGAAGTGGTCAATTGAATGGCTGGAAGGGGAGGCGGGTAGGAAAAGTGTCCGAATTATTTTCTTTTATTCTCTTTTGAGCAAGAATATCTTTTCATGAAGATGTTGCTGTCAAATTTCATCTGCCTTTTTCTTTCTTTTTGTGTGAATGTTATTTTATCCCAAATCTATCCTCCGAGTTTCTAATGGTTAATGTTTAACATTACTATGTGTACAAAACAACACATGTGTTATCGAAATAGACATGGCATATGGTTTGTATGCGTGATACCAAGGGTGTATATTACATGATACTGACATACGATACTTTTATGAATGGACAATAAACTCTTTCACGTTTTAGGGATTTCCCCTACTTTCGTCCGGCAAATGACTTAATTTTACATTTCGATGGCATTCATGACCAAACTTCATTCTTAGGTTCGATTGATGTGCCAGCGACAAACTAATAAATCTTGTGAAGAATGTCGAGTTCCAATAAATAGAGCCTATATATTTGTCTTTCTTCCTTTGATTTGTGTTCTGATAACATTTACAACTCGGAATGTTGTTTTCATTCACAGACAATCAAACCAAAATATGTGGATTACCTTGACATCTGAATCAACTGTTAGCGTTCACTATCTGTCCATACATACGAGTGTCAATGTGGTGTGGGTGTCAACACTAAACTTGGAGTGAGTATAACAAAATACGCTAGAAAATTGAAGTTTGGTCACTGTGGTTGTTTTCAAAAACATCACCCGCTAAATATAGAGGAAATACGAGCACACTTTCACCCAAAACACAACCATTGAAAGTAAATGATTCATCTACTATAGAGTACTTGACTGGACGACTAAGACGAGAGTTGAAACGTATTTCGTTGTGTGTGTCTTATTTGACTGTAAAGCTTAAGTAACTTTCCCGATCCCGCATCTCAAGGGGACGAGATATAGAGACGAGACGAGATTCCCCCCTGACAAGTGTGGAGAACCCGAGAGGAGAGAACTCCCCCCTGATACTACTGTCACTTCAAGTAGTAGACAAGTAGTAGAGACAACCCGTCAATGTGTACCCCATACCAAGTTGAACTTCAAAAACTCTTAATTCGTATTTACAGACCAAGTTCGTTATTCGCGATAGCTGCAACACAACCTGCCATACGTGAATATACACCACACTAGCCGCTACACATTCACATCAAGCTACAACAGTAACGAATATGTATCCACACTCGATCTAAAGAATGTAGGGCCATATTTGAATCCAGTGAGAATTTTATTTTAAATCGGTGAATGACGGACTCAGTTATTTTATAAAATGGTCCAATATATATAATTATAAAAACAAATAAAACACACAATCTTTAACGGGCACCCAGTATCTGGCCGGAAAAGTATATATTTTGTACATTTATTTACAGGAAATTGCCGTTTCGTTGAAATGAATGAATAACGTGAAAAGCATTTCCAGCGAAAACCGTGTATTTGTGTCAAAACATCCTCCCCTCATATGACCAAACAATAATATTATAGTGAATACGTGAACAAACATTTGTTCGCCAAACGGCTACTACTTCAGTTTGTGAAAATAATGTCCAGAGAACGTGTCACGTGACACTGAAATGCGATAGGCAACTAAAGTTTATAGAGTCTACAATAAATTATTCCACGTTTAGACTCTCACATTTCGCTCGACTTGTTGCAATCAGGTCAACAACGCAACGCAAATTTTACACTGGTGGAAAAACCGATAATATCAGGTTACGCCGGTGTTAATAAGTTTAAATACATTGGAGACAGCACCGGTGACCATTCGTAAATGTGCATTGGCGTCTAAAAGTGATTCTGAGTGCCTACTGTATTTAACCTTTTTAACCACAAGACTTTGTCGTTCAATTTTGTCTGCACTTTTTTCTTAATTTCTTCAATATTATCGAAAATTACAAAAATGTTGATATTTCTGCCCCAATCTTCTGAAGGAAAGTGCAGACTACTGAACGGAACTATTTAGTGAATTTGTGTTGAAAAGAGGGAACTGGTTGTGAAAAGCCTAAGTTTATTTCATTTCAAAGTTGGAAAGCTGGCAATGTGTATCAAATTTCACGACAGTTTAGATTGTTATATTGACCTGTATACGTTGTTAAACTCAAAATATGCCGATTGGTTCCAACGCACAGCAAACAAGATATTACTTCCATGTACCAACACGTGTATATTATGACATGTTACATGATCTACATGACGCTCGATTAAAAAAGTGCAACAGATCGAAAAACAAGGTCGACTAAAACATTGCCAATCTACGAGTCGGTGCCATTGTGTGCATTATCCGGTGGTCGTCATAGTTACGCCTCTTGTAAGAATTACTGGTGTGAACGCACGGTTATGAGATTCTTAACTTTTTAATTCTAGTGAGAACACGGGACGTATACCGGTATTTGTTTTCAAATCTACTTCCTTCCCAGATTATATGATCAACCCTAATACGACTATGAATATGTGGAAAAACAAAAACTCGTCTCCGCAACTTAACTTAATTTAAAATCCATTTGCAAACATCGTGATCTAGATGACCTACGTGCACACATTTTAACTGGAATACACCAAGGTCAAGCTTTGGATATAATTAATATCGTATGGATCTTATTTCGTTATATTTCCACGAAATTGTTGTTTCCTCGACATGTGTGGAAATCTGCCAGAGCGTTTCCAGTGAAAATTGTGTACGTGTTACCGGAACTCCGGGACTTGGTAGTGTATATAAGGAGGTGGCTGCTAGAAGACAGATCATAATTCCATCTTACACGACTGTGTCAACTATATTGAAGAAAAGTCGAGTATCTAATTTTACCTCTTGGTAAGTTATTCACAATATTGTTTACCGTTTGTTTTGGGATGTACATCATTGTAACGAACACATCCCACGGCGTCACGTTTCTGGTGTTGCCGATAGCTTGGTGGTCGTTATTGACTAAAGTTATGCACGTTTTATTTTCCAGTTACCATGGCCACGAAAGTGTTCATCATCAGTGCTGTTGTGGTTGCCATGTCTATTGCTATAGTGAATGCCTGCTCATCTTCGTCGGGTCGAACCCCTGCATGGGACGTGGGCGACAACGCTGAAGTGTACCCAACATACGACCCTGCCACTGAATCAGTCGGCGTCGGTGTTACTATCAGGTAAATAATTTATGATTCTAACCGAGTGACGGCAATTATTTGATCCGCATTACATTAACGGCCGGCGGCTTAGACTAGTAAATGTATTCACCAACCAATTACTCTGATTCGATAGGCAGTGACCAATCGTGACCACGACCAAAAACAAATGCAACAGATAAATATAT